TGTGTGTGTGTGTGTGTGTGTGTGTGTGTGTGTGTGTGTGTGTGTGTGTGTTTATGTGTTTGTGTGTGTGGGGAGGGGGGGAGTTGGAGGTTTGGAGGGCGGCATCTAGCAACCACAGAGCTCACGATCAGCTTACTGTCCTCTGCACATATTCACGCTTAACGAACTATGACAGGTTGGCGGACAGATACCGGAGTGTCCTCTCCTTTCTCTCAGTCCGGTCCCCACTATGTAAGGGAATGAGGGAAGAGGGGGAGAGAGAGAGAGAAAGAGAGAGAGATAGATAGAGAGAGAGATATACATAGAGAGGGAGAGAGAGAGAGAGAGAGAGAGAGAGAGAGAGAGAGAGAGAGAGCGAGAGAGAGAGAGTGAAGCACGGGAGAGACCGACAGACAGACCGTTGGACTACCTGACGACATTCCCTCTCTATCCACCTTTGGCCATCAAGAAATTATATATAGTGACACCAGCCATCCATGTCCAGGAGCTGTTTTAGCCTTATTATCTATCTTTGGTCACCCTCTCTCACACACCTTCCAATCCTATACTTGAGGCTCCCTGTTTGTCCGGCTCATTCCCCACAGTGCCAGGTTCGCCGGTGAGTCCCCTCTCCGTTTTAGACACTTTCCCTCTCTCCTCTCTCCTGTCACACCATAGAACCCTCCAACTGAGGCCCCTGCCCGCTCCTGCCCAGACCCTGCAAACACCCCCCCTCCCCACCAGGGATCTGTTATGTGATTATTACAACAGGCCCCCGCCGTCCGTCCCCCGACCTCCTATTACTTATGTACACAGCTATCACTACTGTGCTATGGTTATATAGTTTTCTGTTCTTCATGTCTAATCATAACCACCTGATCTTATCTTTCTTATTGGAACCATATATGTATAAGTCACTTTAACAGTGCCTTTCCCAAGAACACAACGTCGGGACAGAAATTAACAACCTCACTAAGCTAATTACGAGTTCGGTAGTCTAATCATTAGACTGCCGACGCCACAATGTTAAACAAATGTGAGGCAGCGTGGTGGAATCAGGCTCTCGTCAATTTTCGGGCATGTAGAGTTATTGGTATCATCTTAAAGCGTGTTCATTTGTCTTTGTTTGGATTGAAAAAATATCCATTTATCTTGAATACAAGTCGAGATATTTACGAATGGAGGAGATGGGGATCACCTGTTTTCAGAGGTAAAATTAGTGAGAAAATGACCACCAAAGATTAGTTATTTCCATAGCTTTAGAGTCCGTGGTAACTGAAAAGTTACATTTTTTGTGCCGTTAATCAACATTTTTCAGAAAAATACACTAAGAAATGGGTTCTTTAATGGGTCTGTAAGGTGTTGAGCCAAAAAACCAAATGTTGATAAAAATTCACAAACCTGCGGAAAAATGCCAGTTTTCTTCACTTTGATCATTTTGACGAGAGCCTGATTCCACCATGCTGCCTCACAAATATTTATCTTGGGTGCTATTTAGTTTGTTCATTTGTTCACTCTCAGATGTTAAACGCCCAGAAAACAACAACGAGATCTTTAGTTCGACAATGTATATTTTTTAAATCGTATTTCTAGGACTCGTCTCCTCGTCTTCTTTGCATTCTCCTGCTAAATCTCAGGGGTAGTCGACTGCTGATTTTTCAACTTGCAGTGCAATTGATTTTTGTGTAATATATGACCGTTTTTTTCAGCAATAATCTTTCTCCTCTTCTTATTAGTTGAACCCGATGATCTTTCCCCCCTCCTTGTGTTGAACAAGATAATCTGTCTCTGATAATCTGTCTCTGACTCTGATAATCTGTCTCTGATAATCTGTCTCTGATAATCTGTCTCCTTTCTTTTTCCTTCTGTCTAGGACCCGGTACAGGGAGTGAAGAACCTGAACCAGTACCTTGGCACAGGGTGTAGCGATGCACTGTGTGAAGAGATAGCTGAGGCATGCAAGTTCCACAATCTCCAGCCCGTGAAGAACACCGGGGTGCCAAGGTACGACGAGGTTGAGTTCAAGAAGGGAACCCCAACCTTCTACAGGAAAGGTGAGTTAACCAGTTTCTGTCGGCACAGTTGGCGAGAAAAAATAAACTTTGGCTAGAGAGGGGTTAAACGTTTAACTTGCTGAATGGGTTAAACAGTTGAAGTAAATATGCCTGTTTTATGCAGTACCCGTAGAGGTAATTTCACTATCAGCCCCCCCC